CCGGCCGCTCCGTCAAATCCGCCGGCCGCGCCGTTCTCAAGCCCACTGCCTCTGCTCACTCTAGCGCTCCGGCCGTTCCTCACTCTAGCCCCCGGCAACAGCTCACTCTAGGCCGCCGCCGCTCACTCTAGGCCACCGTGTGTGACGCTGTGTTTCGTTGTGAAAGCGAAACTACTTTGTTTGGCCTTCCAAAAATGGACACGACTAGAAATCAGTGGTTAAGTTGTATTTACAACACTGTTCCAGAACACTTCAACCCAAATATTCAGATGTGTGCAGCACATTTTATGGAGGACCGTTTCCTGATCCTGGGAGAGTAGACTACAATGCCGGCTGTTCTGACTCACAGACTGTAAGTACGTTTTTTATATTTAAAGAGTTTTTATATTTTATATTTTTTATATTTAAAGCGAGTTTTTTGGGCAGTGTAGAGCAACGAATGACTTGTTTATAATGGGTTTTCATGTTTTTGAATCATCCCTCCGGCCTGACAGGGCATCATCACAGTATGGTGAGGGGCGTAACATTTCCATCACACGCTTGAGGTATTCGGCCAATCATAACGCACTGGATAGCTGGCCAATCACAGCACACCTTGCTTTTCAGACCGATGAGCTTTGTAAAAATCGACGTGTTTCAGAAAGGCGGGGCATAGAGGAGAAACAATAATGTACAGTATGTGGAAAATAAGGTTTTTTTCCGCATAAACACATTTCATTACACCAAATACACAAAATAATGTTCTTTTTAGCAACATCATATGACCCCTTTAATGTTTATCAGTCAACCACAGCATAATGGACGTAAAAGGCCAGAGAGCCTCTCTGATGGTTACCAGTCCCAAGAGAAAAAGTTCCTAAACCCTTAAAGGAATAGCTCAACCAAAAATGCAGAACATTTAATTATGAATATTTTGAGAAACGTCTCAGTGTGAACAATGGACATCAATGGCCACCAAAGCAGTTTGGTTACCAACGTTCTTCAAAAGCTCTTCTGTTATGTTCCACAGAGAAAAGTCAAACAGCTTTCGAATGACAATGAAGAGTAATTTTATTTTTTTATTAAACTGATCTAATCATCAAAGAAAAACAATGTGTTACAGGGCCCACAAAAACATTCAGCAGCCCAATTGTTTTTAGCACTGATAATGATAAGAAATATTTCTTAAGCAACAAATCAGCATATTAGAATGATTTCTGAAGGACCATGTGAATCTGAAGACCGAAAAATGGCTGGTGAAAATTCATTTTTGCCACCAAATTATTTAAAATTGCAATATTTCACAATATTACTGTTTTTACTGTATTTTTTGATCAAATAAAAGCAGCATTGATGCACAAGAGACTTCTTTCAAAAACATTAACACAAACTTACCAACCCCAAACTTTTGAACAGTAGAATATTTCAGTGATATGCGTCAGATACTATAATATGGGCGTTATACCGTATAAAATGATACAGATACTGTAATATGGGCATTCATAAAATAAAAATCACTTGTGACCACCGAGAAACAGTGGAAAAAGTTCCCTTTAGATCAGCATCACACCACATATACTTACTGCTGCAGTAATGTTGTCTTTTCCATTTAGGACAATAGTGTCTGCAGAACATCCTGAGGTCCTCCTATGGGGTCTTCCTATCAAAGCCTGATGGAGGAAATGTTTTGAGATAAAGTGGGGAAATTTATAACAACAGGGCAGCATTGGAAGAGCAATTCAGCTTTGCGTTTTACATTAAATAATGAATCAGCATTTTATACAGATGATTCTACAATGTAGGACACCAGCTACAGTGAACATGGTGTGGAGGACTGTAGACACAATGATATTTCATCTTCGAAGATCATTGTGAGCTTTTTGGTAAAACAGAAAGAAAAAAATCTACAGGCTCTGTACAGAACTGACAAAAATATGTATTATAATACCCTTTATTAAACAGGGTTTCCATGAGTGAATTACTATGACCATGTGATTTCCAGTATAAGACTCTTTTTTTTTTTTTTTAATTCAATCAAATTTAGACTTAAGTGAAGAAATCCACTGCAACGACTGGGAACTGTTTAAAAGGTTCGCAGTTAAAAACTACTATAAAGATTTCCAGGAAATTGCCACAGAGGGTCTGTCTTTTTCCACTGTTCCAGACATCCCAGCAGTCCTCCCAAAACCAGCAGAGGCGGCAGCTGCTAAGACAGCTGAAAAATCCAACAGATTTTAGAGAGCACCAACGGGCAGTGCAGAACTAAGAAGGGCCCTGTGGCCCCGGACGACACCCATGCCATCTGTCAGGGACCTTGATAAACTCAAGTTTATTATTAGACAGAACTCTGATTCTCAGGCCAGTCATCACAAAAACTCTGTGACTTAGCTTTCAGGAAACATGACACCCTAATATAAAAATAAGACCTTTTACATCTTTATGAAATTAGCATATAAAGATGAATGTTGAGTTTTCACAGGAATTTTATTTATTTATTGCTGTGATGCCTAAAACTCGAATATAACATAAGAACATGACTTAAAATTATTGACATTAATATTGCAACTAAAAAAAAAACATTTTTTTAGTAGAAATGTGACCAAAACAAGTTTTGGACAGGTTTAGTGAGATCAAATCAATGTCCAATTATGTCAATGATTTTCAATACAAACTAAGCGGAACATTTAGAACCTGTAAATAACCACAAAGCAGGAGTTTGAGATGAGCCTCTTAAATCTGGAGTAAAACATTGATGCAGTATTAAATATTCAGTACATAAATATCTTAACCTCGTCTACAATGATACAAAATTGACAAAGACTTTCTCCTGAAATGCCGCACAGGGCAGAGAGAATGTAAGCGAATAGCAACGCCTCAGGCAACTAACGACCCGCCTGACTTATGCACTCACAGCCTGGCATCTTGGGAAGTTATAAGAAACCATTAATACAAAAACAAGTCAGAGGTTCATGCAATATGCATGAAGATTTTTGAAAAATATTTTTACTGCACAAACCAGTCAGCAGCCCCCCCCCAAAAAATAAAATAAAATAAAATAAAATAAAATAAAAAAAACCTATCAAAGTATCCTGGAAAAAAAAAGACATCGTTTCCAAAAAAAAAAATTAAACATTGATAATATAAAGAAATGTTTCTTGACATTCTTGCATGAAATCAGCATATAAGAATGATTTCTGAAGAATCTGAATCATTTTTATATTTCAGTTTTTACTGTATCTTTGATCAAATAAATACAGCCTTGATGATCAAAACATTAAAAAAAAAATCTTACTGTCCTCAAAGTATGCATAAATGCACAATAACTAAATACAGCTAATTATTTGGCAAGGCACTGACAAAAATCAAGAAACACAATATTGCCCATGTTTATTGAAGGGTGCTAGAATATTCTTGTAAAGCAATGGACACTATGAGGCAGATTTATGCAAAGCATACATACAGTAACAAAGTCCTGTAAACTGTAACAACCTGCCAGCTTCATGACGTCGTAAAAGAGACAGCCTTTCCTCTCCTGACTTATGGCGCAATTTTTTCTTCATTTTATACAACTTATATTTTCATAAAATACACTATAGCCTTTAAAAATGGAAAAAGCATCATACAGTTTAAATGGTATGCAAGGTACAAAAAAAGGAAAATAAATATGGAATTAATATTTTATGACATGCATCCATATGCAAGCAGCGTACGCATTAGACTGACAATTTATGAGATGAAACATCGTTCCATGTCATATTTTACTGTCAAAACAAAGCTCTAAACATCGATTCTACATTGGAACTTAAAGCTTTGCTTTGTTTATACCTTCATGGTTGAACTACAACAGCTTCAGTTTCTGATGTGCTGTCATGTCCCGTTTCAATACCAGTTCTACATTAAACACCATCTTCAGTCATTTCAGCAAAAGGCCCTGCGGATGGATATTTATACTGACACAAGAGAGCAGGTTTGGTAATTCTCAACAGAAAGCAACTGAAAGAAAGAAATAGAAAATACAATGCTTACGGTCAGGAAAGGCCTACAAATCTAGAGCACCAGGTACACATGGGGTAAAGATGCCGCTTTATGTACATTCTATAGGTTTAGTAGCACCATTACAAGCTCAAGGCACCTCACTGGGAGGAGAAAGAGTCGACAGGTAAGGTAAAGCTTTGTAGGGAGGCGAGAGTTCAAAGTAGTGTGGTCGATTTAGTATTCAGCTGTCCACACAGGCAATGCAACACGAGCCTGTGAAGACTATCTTTAACTGCGCTCGGTAAGTTAAGATGGCTTGGTGAGGTGGAGTACAACAGAGACGGCGGGTGATCGGGGTCACTTCTGGACCGGGCCGGCAGAGCAGCGAGATGCACACGCTGCCGATTGCAACACTTCCTGCAAGAGAGTATGGGGTTCTCAACTCTCCCTGGGCCCCGCCTCCAGAGCCTCCTCATCCAGCCGCTGCTCCGCCTCTTCCTGTAGGAATCTCTTTTCCTCCACTAGTTTCATCCGTTCACGGATGCTTTCGGCTGAGGAGGCCATGTCGCCCGGGCTGCCGAAGAACTGCTCGCTCCTGCAACCGCGACGAATGAGGATGGAAGGAAATGACGACAAAAACAAAACATTTCCATCTTAGTGATTGTTGAATACAGGCTAAGATGATAAAGCAATCCAATTAAGGAAGTAAATAAAAAAAGTTGGGTTAAATTAGTTTGAGGCACATAGAAAATTTGCCTACATAATTTATTTACAGGAGTAAAAAAATTAAAAAATTACTATTTAAAAGAATGCATAAAAAAAAAAACGCATTAATACAAAATAAATAAATAAATATTAAAAGTAATAATAATAAACAGGATTTTGCATGTGGATAAATAAATAAAATAGTAAATTAGTACATAAAAAGAAATAAGTGAATATAAGTAAATAAATAAATACATACATACATAAATGCATAAATAAATGAAAAGCAGGTAACATTTTAAGCATTTGGCAGACACTTATTCAAAGTGACATGGGATTCAAGCTACACATTCTATTAATTAATGCATTCCCTGGGAATCAAACCCTCGACCATGGCGTTGCTAACGGTTTAAAAGGATCCTATTCTTAAAAACATATCATTATTATTATTATAATCATTACAATTAATAATAATAAAGGATTTTTCAATAAATAAATAAATCCTGTGCACACTGATCCATAGCGTTCAGGACAATCATGGAAGGATATGAGTACTGTCTGAGACTAATGATAGTTCATAGAAAACAGAGTAGAAGAATTTGATAAGTGTGCTGGACTTTGGTCTTTCAGCTCTTACCCATCAGGGAAAATGACTGGCACAGTGAGCCTGTCAAGAAGACCTTTCCCCACCGTCTCCACCTCTTCATATGCCTCCACATCCACCATCAGCTCAGCTAATTCAGGGCTTTCTCTCAGAATCTGAAAGCAGGGAGAAACTGCCTGATATATTACAGAGCTAGAGACCTTCAGACAGTGTATCACAGCTGTGAAGTTTGTAGACAGTACATGTGACCACATGCCTGAGACAGACTAGTTTCACTACAATTTTAGATTGCAATTACCAGTATTATTATTAATATTAATGAGTAATTAGCTTAACATACAGTGGGGTCCAAAACATGCAAGAAAAAACCCTTGGTTATTTATAAGGTCGTAATAAATATAATTAAGCTCACAAAGGTTCTTCATGATAAATTAACTCAATACATTTTAAAAGAACAGTTCACACAAAAATTATTTATACACCCTCACGTTGGTAAAAACCCATCTGCTTTTATATTTTCCATGGAATATAAATGGGAGAAAATCCAAAGAATCACGCTGCAATTTCTCCTGTTGTGTTCCATGGAAGAAGGAAATTCAAACAGGTTTGGAATGACATGAGGGTGAGTAAATGTAGACAATTTTCCTTAATTTGCTATGACATTAGTTTTGCAGAACTGTACCAACCTTCTCCGCAGCTGTGTGGAAAGCACTGGCCATCTCCAGCCTGTGCTGCCTCTCGTCAGACGTGACTGTGAACTGTTTCCACACACGGTTGAGTCTGGGCAGCGTGTCCCCCGAGGAGCGGGTGGTACAACGCAGAGACTGGCACAGCACCACTGTGGCCTGCAGCAGCTGGCGACCGTAATCATAGGTGCTCTGAAAGCAGAAAGGAAATGGTTACTGTGAACCGAAAACAAAACATGGGCTGGATACTCCAACAACATTATACTCCAAGAAGCATTAAAAAAAATCACCACTTTTTTTTTTTTACCTTTACCTTACCTGTAACAATACATTTCCTCCCCCAAAAAAGGAGGAATTGATTTAATCCATGAAGATTTGAGACTATTGTATTATTATAATATAAAAATAATTAAATGAAAAATAAAAGTGTGTGTGTGTATATATATATATATATATATATATATATATATATAACAAGTAAATCAATTAATATAAATAAATGTAATAATTTTTAATAAAAACAAAACTATTATTATTATTATTAATAATAGTGGAAAACAGATTTATTCATTGGGATTTCATGTTGTCTTTGATTCAATATAACTCTGATTATATAATGCTGATTTATTAAGATTAGGTGTGCCAGCAGAGGAAATTCAAAACCTCAAGAGTTTCAAATACCTGTGCAACATCCACAAACTTCTTGTGTTTCTCCAGCAGCACTTTGGTTTCTTGCGAATCATCTCCCAGTCGGATGTGAGTCTTCAACAAAGCATCGAGCAACTCTCCTAACCACTCCACCGCCTGCGAAGAAAAGAAACGGCCCTTACAGTCCCTCAGGAACTACAGACCCACTTCTAAGAGTCTCTCTCCATTTGAATTTCTAGCTCTGACCTGTGATGCATCTTCCTCACACTTGAAGAGCTGTACCATCTGCAGCATCTTGAGTCTCCTGACATCAACCATGTCCTCACACCTATAAAACACAAGTGAACACATCAGACCATCATCGCTTTCTCTTGGTACACCAGAAGTGCTGTGTCCATGATTAAAAATCATGAAAAGAGAAGAGGGACCTCTGTTTGCGGAGCTGCATGTCCTCCATGACACTGTGAATGTGGTCGATATTCTCTTTGTTCTCAATGCTTACATCCTTGCCATAGGAAAAGGACGTCTGGGTAGACATCTGGTCAAGCAGTACTTGGCCTTTTTCTCTTAAGCTTTGCAAGGCACCCTCTGAAAAACAGTGAGAGACTCAATTAGTGCTGGGTGGTATGACCAAAAATGTATATCACGGTATTTTTCAAAATTATACCGGTTTCACGGTACATGAATTTTAAAAATTCATATCATAACAAAAATAAACACCGGTATTCGGTATGAACCGGTATACCGCCCAGCACTAGACTCAATACATAGAAAGAGAGGAAACTTCTCTATGTGGATTTTCAATTTTTTTTACTTCAATTATAAAATTCAGATATCAGTCAACCTGAAAACAAAAGTTGCCTTTACAAGGCATCTATTTGGTAAAACAATTGAGAATGTATATGTTGTTTGAAGCACTAATTACCAAGTAGAGTAGTGTATATTTTGCTTTGTTTTAATGAACGTTTTATGTCAGTTTAATAATTGCTTTTTTTTTTTTTTTGGTAATTAGTCACTTTAGATAAAAGTGTCTGCTAAATTTGAATGTGTTCACAAATTTTTTTTTTTTTCATATTTCATGTTAAAACACGCCTCTAAATGGCAAGATGACCAGCCGCAGTTTATTTTATTTTTATGTCTTGAGTGGTTTTTGAAAATCAAACATTTAGTTATGTGATACTAATGCATAAGCACCAATAGTTCTGGTTTATCAAACATTAATTATATGAACCAGGATCAGGCGTACGAGTAGGATAACAGCGCTTTCTGACCTACGCTCTTGAGTTTCTCCTCCAGATGTTTTAGAGTTTGCTGGATCGCAGCTCCATCTGTAGGGGCGACATCTGCACACAGCATGCCTAACAGCCCGTCTAACTGCTGGGACAACTGAGACAAACCCATATAACAATAGCATCAGAAAGCAGCTTTCTATATATTCACATACAGTTGAAACGTTCAATAAAATAATCTATAATGCCTTTTAAGTAATATGTAGGCCCACAATGAATATGTACACCGATTTTCTGACTGGGGAGGAAATCTGTGGCTTTAAATGTGTGTAAATGGCCTGTGAACGTCAATTTATGTTGACTTCAAGACATTTTTATTTCTGTTATTTGACATACACCCAAGGGGAACAGGATATTTAACAAAAGAAAACAAAGTAGGGCGAGACTTGATTTTATCCTTCTGGAATTTGGATTGGATTGCAAAAAGCGGGTGTTAAATATCACAGTGGAGCCAGATGATTGGAGGGGATGGGTTGAAAATCTAAGAGGGATTCATACCATTAAATGAAAAGAACATTTATTTCAGAGGCTGAGCAAGTTATTGCATTTTGATTAGATTTAATTCGGAATAACATGCACAGATGAATTGTGCACAAAAAGACCAGAACTGAATGTTTGAAAAGTAAAAATGGTCAAATTTGATTTCATGTTGACTTTAAACAGAACTGATAGTATTACACTGTACCTACTGATAGCGGAAGCATCACAGTAGCCAAAATATTTTCTTGTTTCTACATGAACATGTTTGTGTTCCGTGGAAATCTGTAGAGCTTTAACTGCAGTTCTGTGAGTGCAGATTCCATGAAGGTCTAGTGCTATCATCTGATTGTATTGAATCTTACATCTTGTGCGGTCATGTGGAACTCATGGGCAGACTGCAGGATGTTCTGTCTGAACTCTAATTGGCTGGCCTGCCGGTAGCAGACGTCACTGAGCTGCTGCTGCAGACCCTTGAGCTCCATCAGGTCCTCTTCATCTCCTGCGCTCAGCAGGGCTGCGATCTGCTGGTTCAGCTCCACGTAAACAGCAAACCACTCCTGCAGCAAACAATGACATGAGCTGTTAATACACAGTTAAATAAACCACCAGCAATCATAAAAACCACAGGTCCATAAACACAGTACACCAAATCCTACAGGTCAGATGGATACACAGCTCCCATGAAATACAAATATAGACACATGTAAATATATATGCGTGTGTGTGTGAGAATATTACATATATATGTCAATAGGGCTGTCAAAAAATATTTGAATTTCGAATACTCGTCAAATTTAAAATAAAAATCCATATTCGAATGCAAAAACGTTGCATTCGAATTTTAGGTGTGCGTCAGGCAGCCTTATCAGTGGCGCACGAAATGCGACGACGATGTAAGTGTCATTGCATTTTAATGCTTTTGTTAGCCTATCCAGTTGAACCCACTAGATTTTTTTGGTAATTAGACACTTTAGATAAAAGTGTCTGCTAAATTTGAATGTGTTCACAAATTTTTTTTTTTTTCATATTTCATGTTAAAACACGCCTCTAAATGGCAAGATGACCAGCCGCAGTTTATTTTATTTTTATGTCTTGAGTGGTTTTTGAAAATCAAACATTTAGTTATGTGATACTAATGCATAAGCACCAATAGTTCTGGTTTATCAAACATTAATTATATGAACCAGGATCAGGCGTACGAGTAGGATAACAGCGCTTTCTGACCTACGCTCTTGAGTTTCTCCTCCAGATGTTTTAGAGTTTGCTGGATCGCAGCTCCATCTGTAGGGGCGACATCTGCACACAGCATGCCTAACAGCCCGTCTAACTGCTGGGACAACTGAGACAAACCCATATAACAATAGCATCAGAAAGCAGCTTTCTATATATTCACATACAGTTGAAACGTTCAATAAAATAATCTATAATGCCTTTTAAGTAATATGTAGGCCCACAATGAATATGTACACCGATTTTCTGACTGGGGAGGAAATCTGTGGCTTTAAATGTGTGTAAATGGCCTGTGAACGTCAATTTATGTTGACTTCAAGACATTTTTATTTCTGTTATTTGACATACACCCAAGGGGAACAGGATATTTAACAAAAGAAAACAAAGTAGGGCGAGACTTGATTTTATCCTTCTGGAATTTGGATTGGATTGCAAAAAGCGGGTGTTAAATATCACAGTGGAGCCAGATGATTGGAGGGGATGGGTTGAAAATCTAAGAGGGATTCATACCATTAAATGAAAAGAACATTTATTTCAGAGGCTGAGCAAGTTATTGCATTTTGATTAGATTTAATTCGGAATAACATGCACAGATGAATTGTGCACAAAAAGACCAGAACTGAATGTTTGAAAAGTAAAAATGGTCAAATTTGATTTCATGTTGACTTTAAACAGAACTGATAGTATTACACTGTACCTACTGATAGCGGAAGCATCACAGTAGCCAAAATATTTTCTTGTTTCTACATGAACATGTTTGTGTTCCGTGGAAATCTGTAGAGCTTTAACTGCAGTTCTGTGAGTGCAGATTCCATGAAGGTCTAGTGCTATCATCTGATTGTATTGAATCTTACATCTTGTGCGGTCATGTGGAACTCATGGGCAGACTGCAGGATGTTCTGTCTGAACTCTAATTGGCTGGCCTGCCGGTAGCAGACGTCACTGAGCTGCTGCTGCAGACCCTTGAGCTCCATCAGGTCCTCTTCATCTCCTGCGCTCAGCAGGGCTGCGATCTGCTGGTTCAGCTCCACGTAAACAGCAAACCACTCCTGCAGCAAACAATGACATGAGCTGTTAATACACAGTTAAATAAACCACCAGCAATCATAAAAACCACAGGTCCATAAACACAGTACACCAAATCCTACAGGTCAGATGGATACACAGCTCCCATGAAATACAAATATAGACACATGTAAATATATATGCGTGTGTGTGTGAGAATATTACATATATATGTCAATAGGGCTGTCAAAAAATATTTGAATTTCGAATACTCGTCAAATTTAAAATAAAAATCCATATTCGAATGCAAAAACGTTGCATTCGAATTTTAGGTGTGCGTCAGGCAGCCTTATCAGTGGCGCACGAAATGCGACGACGATGTAAGTGTCATTGCATTTTAATGCTTTTGTTAGCCTATCCAGTTGAACCCACTAGATGCGGCGCTGCTTCGTTGTTCATTCAAATTATTCCAGAAAAAGAGAACAATCAATGCGGGGAAGATTTTGTTTACGTCAAAACCAAAACCAAGCCGTTCACACAGAATGCATATTTATCGCATTTTCTAGAGGGCCATCTATCATCTTATAATCATTATTTTAAACATTATGCAGTTTTTTCAAAGATAGTCGTGTTATTTTATTATGCTTTGAAGAAACATGCATAATATTCATAGACTGTACAAAAACAGATAATATTTTGTTCGATGTGCCCTCTTGTGGCCTCAGGAAAGAAGCCAAAAGCTTTTTTACACCTAACTGAAATCATGCCTTTTAAATTCAATTACAATTAGAATATCGAAAATATTTAAGTACAAAATTGTAATTTAGTTTTTCAGAAATTATGCCTTTTAAATTCGAATATAATTGGAATATTGATCATATTTAAGTAAAAAATTTGAATTTAGTTTTTCAGCCATTTTGACAGCCCTACGTGCCCTATATATATCCCAAATTATATCCCCACCTAGCAACCAAGCAGAACACCTTAGCAACCACCTAACACCCTGGCAACAAATCACAACCTTATACCCTTGCATTTTTTATTTTTGCATAGACAAAGACCACTCGCATGTTCTTTAGAAAAGGTTAAGATCAAGATAAATGTCTATTGTATTTAGGGTTGGGCAATGTCTACCAAATTGGCATCGGACGATGTCTACCGCTTGCTAGCGGTAGACTGTTACAGTACATGAAAGTTCACTTACCACATACACAGAGTAAGGAGAGATGACTCATAGGACAATGACGAATGATTTGCAGATACTGAGCACCACTGACAAATATCTAATCTTGTAAGATGTGTGATAGGTACTGCTGCTCCGTAGTATAGAGTCCGTGTGATCTTGACTCTCGAAAGTGTAAGTAAAATGAGAGCACGTATTCGAAAGCGGTTTCAATGCCCTGCATATTAGTAGCGGCTCCTTGATGCCCGCAATTACCCAACGATATAATTGTGAGAGAAATTATTGAAATATTATTTTTTTATCCTCCCATCTCGTAGGCTATTTATTCCCTTTAGGGGTTCCATAGTACACTTAATTTCCTTTCCGAACACGGAATTGGGATGCGGCGGAATGCGTGGGGCATGTGTGTGTGTGGGGTGGGGGTGGGTGGGATCACGATGCCGGCTCAACATCGTGATGTCAGCCATCGGCAATGGATGATGGCAACGTCTATCGGCCCAACCCTAATTGTGTTCAAAATCCTTACTCACAGATTGTTGAAATAACAGCACCTTTAAACCATCTTCCAAAAAAAAAGCCCACCATGATGGCAACACTTAACATGCTGACTAACACTAAATCACTTTTACATAACCTACAGTTTGAACCATGTCTATAATTGGCTCAGTTCCTGATTCAACGTGACAAAGAGGTCACTGTTCAACAAACCATAAAGCCACTGAGTCACACACACTCCAAAACAACACCTTCCTGTAATAAAACATCAACACCAACAAATCTACGTCACAGAGATCCCTGTAAATCAAAGAGGCAGTTTGGCTTTGTCTCACTGAGCCACAAACCACACTGAAGAAATACAGAGGCAGTAACTACTTCAGACAAGCCAAGAGCACACCACAAACCACTCCTGAGACTAAAAGCCAATCAGCTGACCTTCTGGAAATCTGTGTGCAAATCTGTGGGTGGAAAACCACTTCTTTAGAGCAAATCAAATGCATTTATCAAGACTGTAAACATAAAGCTTTGGTTTGTGACTTTATGTACTTAAATCTATTATGCAGCCTGAATCTGAGATTCAAAATGAATCTAAACACAATATAATCTTATTTCCTCAAAAAAGTTGCATAATCAGAAGCAAAAATATTCCAGAAGAACAGCATGCGATTCCCTCAAGTAAAATACATCAATACTGCCACCTACTGGCAGGACTTAAATTGCAGCATGTGGCATATTAGTGTCATCTGACTGACTTCAGTTGATTTGACAGATCACAAATCTTAAATTAGCGATTATATGCGTAACACAAAACCACAGCAGAATAAAAGACAGTTGCCACAATGTCTGCATTTTTGTCTCTCAGCAGCTCTGACTGTTTTAAGTTCTATGGTCTACAACTGTGGTTCACAAACTTTTTATGCCAAATACCACCACAGAACATCCAAGTGCATCATTTTAGGTCGTTTTTAATCACACAGATGTATGTTCAAGTGTTTGTTTTTCTAATAAGTTTGCTTTTAGTTCATCATTTGATTCTTTAAAAATGGGCGGTGGTGCAGGGTCAGAAATGAACTTTTGCATTAAGGGGCAATTTTTGCCTCCTGGAATTGATTTCCAGGGACATTTTTTCTATTCGTTAGGGCAATTTTTATCACCAGCTTAATAATTGTATCTGTGTTGTCTTTAATGACAAATACTTAAATTCAACCAAATACTTTTACAAATACGTTAAACTGTTGCCAATAACAATTGACTGTTTAAAATTATATCTAAACTATATGTTTAAAAACGGGAGCTAACAGGGCTGCAATATTACGACAAAAATCATTATTGTTGATTATTGCTGTTGATATTGTAATAATGATAATTAATGTTGATTAATAGAATACATTTAAAAAAAAAAAAAAAGTTTTGTGTCTGCATTTTGGGGAAACGGCTCATCATATATTCTGGCTCAGGCTTCACAGACAAACATGTCGGTCCATGACGTTAGTCTAGTCTAGCGCATGTTATGCAAAAACTCCCGTTATAATCACTGAAGCTACAAAATGAATATTTTATTTACATAGTATCTACACTGTGTTGTTTATGGAGTGTTTTCCAAAAAAAAAAAAAGGGTTCCAATTATCAGTCATTAAGAACCTTAAATTTCAGTCTGTTCCTTACATAAACCTATTATTCGACTTGAGAACAGTTGGAATATAGTGCATGAGCCACACAGATGCCTTTCATGCTATTTTCTGTCATTTTTGGATGATTACTGACATGGTCACTCCAAACTGTCCTTGTATGGAACAGACCCACATTTCCCCATTTGCATTTCACAGAGGCTATACATACCACAAAAACCATATACACAAACCAGACATGATGGCTGTACTTACACTGTGTTGACTCTCAATCTCCTCGTGTTTCTGCTGCAGGGCCTGAGACGCGCGAATGGAGTCTCCAATCCCCCACTGTGTGCGGAGCTGCTCTGTGCCAGGACCCTCTAGCCAATTCACAACCTGCTCACACACAAAACACACAAACACAGACAAAGAAACCTTTAATTAGTGAATCACTACCACATTTGACCCCCAAGCCATTGAGCAGACTCGAATCGGAAAGAAATCAGGAGGAACGGAGAGCAAATCTAATTAACTAAATGACAGGATCGGGTCGATGAGAGCACAAATTAGAGATTTACTTAATCACATATTTACTCATTTACAAAAAGACAAATGTAGGTTGCACGTCTGGAGAGCTGCACAATCCTTCAGCTGTCAGATTTTGAACATCAGTATCAGAGCACAAATGGGATTTCAGAGCTGCAGCAAAATGGAAGATTGTCAGTGAATAATGACTTACATTTCAATCCGTTCCTCACACAAATATTGCCTTCAAAAGTCAAATTAACTGTGTGGTGAGGTTTTGTGCTTTTCAAAGCTTCTTCAAAATTGGTCCTTTTATGTTGCATAGAATGAAAAGCATACAGGTTTGGAACAACATGAAGGTGAAACAAATAATGAAAAAAATGTTCAATTACGGGTGAACTAACCATTCAATTAACTTGCTTGATAGGCAAGTTCAGTCTCAATTCAACAGCTGAGAGTTACAAATTTGAATTACAACTGAACTGGCAGACAAATTAATTTAACTTCTGTTGTTCAATGAACTAGGGGAGCAAATGAAAATTCTGGAACAGCAGCAAGAGAACCTGCTTTGTGAAGAAAGTCATTCATTTGTCTAATGCTGAGGTGACTGAACTTTTTAAGAATCGCTGCTTAGCTTGCACGGCTTCCTGTCTGTAATTGCTTCAGGCACTGCGGCTTACAAATGATCTCCTCCTTCCCTGCGCAATTTTTCACTGAAGGCAAGTAGGCCAAACTTCTTTTCTGACACACAAGATGTGCACCTCCCAATATCCTGATCGCCATGGAAACAGACATTCTATTTCGTCTAACAAGAGTGGTTCTGAGAGACAACAACCTCTGATCTCACCATCACCTTACATGACCTACATTACACTTGGTGACTCCGTCCAGGTGTGACAATAACCACACGAAGAAATACTGGTTTCGGAGTTTACAATTCTAAATTCTTATTGTAATTTAATGAAGAATGTCTATAAATGCACAAATAAGTATAAATATAAATTATATCCATCAGAGGATCCATCAGAGATTTTAAAGAGCCAATGATTTTTTTTCCTTCACATGGTGCCACATAAGAGAAAAATTACAAGAAAAATTACATCAAATCAAAAATATTACATAAAATCAAAATATAATAATAATAATAATTAGTAGTAGTAGTGCAATAATGTTACATTATAATGCCACAATTGTGTATAAATATGGTTTGGGGTCAGTGAGTTTTGGTCGATGTCTCTTGTGCTCACCAAGGCTGCAATTATTTGATCAAACATACAGTGAAAAACATAACACTGCAAAAAATTACACTTTAAAATAACTGTTTTCTATATTAATATATTCTAAAAAGTAATTTATTACTGTGATGCAAAGCTGGATTTTCAGCAGCCACTACTCCAGTCTTCAGTGTCACATGATCCATTAGAAATCATTCTAATATGCTGATTTTGTGCTCAAGAAACATTTTCTTTATTATTATCAGTGTTGAAAACAATTGTGCTGCTTAATATTTTTGCGGAAACCATGATGCATTTTTTCAGGATTCTTCGATGAACAGAAAATTTAAAAGTACAGGTTCTAAACCATGTTACAAGGATCTAAACTGATATCAACTAAAAACTGAGGGAAAAAAAAAAGAAAACAAAAGCACAATATATGGATGTATAGATGTACGATTGCATCAGCACAGCCCTACTCTCTACCAGCGATTCTCTATGATAATCGGATTCTCAGTGGGAATTTTGTGGGAGTGCATTCTGTAAGCCTTCCAAGAAGACAGAGCAGAAGATGTGTATGTGAAAGAATTATGTGACAAATCTTTTCTGTGGAAAGACTCAATGATTGTATGGTGCGAAGAACCACCAAAAACTGCTCTATTTGTAGACCAAGACTGCTGATTCACCAAAGCACCAAAGCCCGGCCACAGTCTGAACTGATGCTTCGGAATAAGATGTCTTCTTGCAAACCTCAGCGATATTTAGACATACAAATAAAGCAAAATGGATGACAGATGAAACTCCCTCACACTTCACAACATCATGTGATGTTTGAAAGATGACTGTGCAAAGAGAGGTCTCGAATGAATTTGGTGAAACTCAAGGCTACAGTTTTGATTCCTGGCTCAAACAAAGAGCACAGCAATGCGTGTACCACAGCACCAAAGTTCTTCTACAACACAGCTCGACTATCTGAAAGTGATCTTTCACTTTTCGGTTTACATTCTTATAAATCCCCCCAGCGTTTTACCTGCATGACCTTGGTTTGGATTTCCTCTAGCTGGGAGCGTTTACTGCGCTGTCGGCAAACTTCTTGATACTTTGTGTACTGCTCCCTCAGAGAGTCCAGGAGCTTCATCACCTGAGGCTGAGCCAGCAGCTCATCGTCCATGGGCGACCAGGCTGTGCCACCTCCTCCTCCTCCCTCAGAGCCATTGAAACGCCTCTGCTGGAGCTCCGAGAGCAACTCATGTCCTGTGATCAGGGGAGAAAAACAACATTTAGGACAGAAATCAAGGGTTAAGCCATTTGAAAACTGAATTCAGTAAACGGTAATAAAATATTTCATGAACAATGTATCAAGCAGAAAGAAATTGATGAATGCAAGACGTGATGGAAAATGTTCCCATCTGTCAAGGAGTACGGATTGAATTGATGCATTATGAATACATTAAGCCAGTATTTCACCTAAATTAGACACAAAGTGACAGACTCAAATGCAAAAGAAAGGCACAGAAGAAAAACTAATTTTGTACCACTGCTGTGTTTTTATTTGTGCCAATACTTGTGAATTATTCTAACCAAGGTTAGGCAAAATTTGTTACTTTTCAACTCATGAACATGAATTTGAATTGAATTGGCCTTACAGGATGTTACATTGGAATTTGAATTGTAATGACAGGAATAATAAATTAATAGGCAGAGATTTAACAGGCAGAGCAGAAACACAGATGAACTGAATTAGGCCAAAACAAAATAGGCAAAAATGTAAACATGTTGAGTACAAAAGACGACAAAAAAAAAACATTGAATTGCACCAAAAATTTAATACAAAACATCATTAAAAATTCAATAATAAATATTAAAGGGTTAGTTCACTCCAAAATGAAAATTCTGTCATTAATTACTAACCCTCATGTCGTTCAAAACCCGTAAGACCTCAAAAATTCTGTCATTAATTACTCACCCTCATGTCGTTCCAAACCCCTAAGACCTTCGTTCATCTTCGGAACACAAAGATATTTTTGATGGAATCTGAGAGCTCTCTGACCCTCCATAGACAGCAACGCAACTGAAATGTTCCCAGACAGAAACGACAATAACTCGGGGGAGAAGAATTGTTAAATAAATTGATATTTTTATTTTCTTTGCGCACAAATAGTATTCTCGTAGCTTCGCAAAATTGAAGTTGAGCCACTGATGTCACATGGACTGTTTTACCGATGTCCTTGCTACGTTTCTGTCTGGGAACATTTCAGTTGCGTTGCTGTCTATGGAGGGTCAGAGAGCTCTCAGATTCCATCAAAAATATCTTAAATTTGTGTTCCGAAGATGAACGAAGGTCTTACGGGTTTTGAACGACATGAGGGTGAGTAATTAATGACAGAATTTTCATTTTGTGAACTAACCCTTTAACATTACAAACTTAAATTTCAAAATACTCAAGATTTCTTTTTTTTTTTTCTTTTTAAAATCATCTTTATTACATGGGTAATATTTTGTCCATTATATTTCATTCACAAATTGTTATTATTATTTTTTTTTTAAATGTTCATTTACGTTCATTTCAAATGTGCATTGAAAATGCGCATTCGAATATTGCAGGGATGGCAGAAGAGTGCTGATGCAAGACCAATGCCAATATTTACGTAAAAATAAATACATAAAATATATTTAATTTATTAGGGGTGGAACGGTTCAACTTACTCACGGTTCGGTTTGTATCACAGTTTTAGAGTCACGGTTTCGGTATGGTTCGGTATGTGCTATGTTTAGGCAAAAACTATACTGTCAAATAAAAATAAAGAAAATAAGAATAATCTATCTAACTACAAGCAACAGCACAAATAAATACAATAGAGTAAAGATACAAATAAAATAAACAGTGATTTTCAGTTTTTTTTTTTTTTTGGGGAGGTCTAACATTAGTTTTTAGGTACAGAAATTGAATAAAGTAATGAAATGTAAAACAGCATTGCATATTTGACTGTATAAATTAAAGATTAATTTTTATTAAAGTTACAAAAGCTATTCAATCAACAGCAGTGAGTGATTTCTTTGTTGTTGCTGTTTGATTAATATTAAGAAAGTACTGTCACTTTAAGACACTGTAAGTACGTTCAGCCGGCTATGTCTGCTATAAGATACTTACCATGACGGGCATTTTGACAATTTTTGTGTGAATTTGTCCATTTAAACAATACATCAGAGAGAGCTTAATATTTGCACGCGTTCTGAGGCGCTTTTGCACGCTTCAGATGAGCGCACGCACAAATATTCTCACCGCGCGCACGAGCGCGCGTCCTCTGGCTCTTAAATGTTTCAATTGGCAAGGCTTAAATGAGTTTAGCTTAAACACAGATATCAACATGTGCGCGCACGCTATCAGCACCTGGGTGATAACGGAATAAATGCTCATATTCCAGCATACGGCATTCGCATTGAACAAGAGTGAATGGTTCGTCCACGTTTTTTTTTTTCATCGCTGTTGTTGTAATGTATTGGGAAGCCAGAATGCGACTCAACGAATCAACAGAAACATATATTAGCCAAACCCTGTTTGTTTTACGTGTTATTTATAGCAAACCATATTAAGATGCGTTGTCAGATTTAAGTTGAACCACGGTCCTAGCGCGTGCCGAACCGTGTGTGGAGAACCGTACGGTTCGATTTTTTTCCGCAAACCGTTCCACCCCTATAATTGATATTGTTTGCCATTTTAAAATAAATTTGCAAAGTAAAATTCAATTAAGCATGTTTATTTCATACAGAAAAACAAATAGCATTACTTAAAATTACAATTATAAAATACATTTAATTGCATTCTAATTCTAACTTAAAACCAATTCAGGCTGCAATGAATTTTAAGGCATTTAAAGCGGATTCTCAATTTAGTTTTAAATGGTGCACAACCCTGCCTGAGTCGCTTACACTGGGCACAAGTTCACTGAACTGATGAAGCCATTCTTTAGAGTAGGGCATGGTGTCAGAGACATACTGGTCAGGGCAGAGTCAACACTTTACAAACCAGCTTTAGCTTCAAATACAAAAGCTGTGAAATCGCTTTAGAGTGTTAAACAACACTTAAGCCAAGTTCTTAGCTCTACCCCACCAATAAAACTGAATGGAGTAACAGACCAGCTGGAAAAACAGCTTCACTGTTGACATCACATGCTGGATAGAGTATAGTAGTTAAATTCCCAAACCAAAATCTGCTTTTGCTTCTAGTTTTACAAATAGACCCAAAATATTACAGAAAAAAACTTAAGGCAGTTTCAAAGCAGAGTCTACACGTATACAAACACAGCCAGAACAGTTCGCCACTCACCAGTTTGAAGGACCGTTTCAGGATCAAATGAAGGCAGGATGTTGCTCTCTGAAGACCTATGAATATAACAATAAGTTGTTGCTGAGCATTTGTTTATAAAATTATGACCATTTAATGAAACAAACATGTTGATTTCTCTGTACATTTGATTGCTTTTTAAATCCACTAAACATTTTACTTACACATTTAAGAATGGCTAATAGCTAACAGAAAAATAGTGGCGTTTGAAATGACAGCCTTAATTAGGAGCTCATGCCTGGAGATAATGAGACATAAAATACCTGTCCTTCTCTGCCTGGCTTCCCTTCTCATTTTCATTGATGACTATAAGTTCATCCAGAAGGGACGTGGATTCCTTTGTGAATTTTTCAAAGACCTAGATGAAGAACAAATGGCAAATAAGACTTCAAGTTAAAAATGTCATACTGTTGAAACAGCCATGAGGACAGGGCGATATAGCATAACACTGCGATATTTTTTTCAGCCTTTTGATGATAGTCAATATCCATCTCAATATTTATGTATATGTAGTGAAACAACAAAAAACCAGTGTTGTTTTTGTTAAACTAAAACTACAAAAAAATAGTTTTCGTTAATTGATAAACCATGAAAAAAGAAAATTAGAAATGATGCCTTGACAGCTAACTGAAATAAAATAAGCTGAGGCAATAAACTTACTAAAACTGGAATAAAAACAAATTAAAGTTAAATAGAAATATAAAAAATTTAATACTAAAGTACATAAAACAACAATAAATACTATACTAAACAGCCACTGTTGTCAAGTAGATTCAAAATGCCAACAATTAGCCATGTTTTCCACACTTTTTACTGCATGAATATAAGAATAATATTTGATGTTCATTTGCATTCACCAATACAACTAATGAATTTAAAGCAAAGAACATTTTTTTTATGTATAATATGTCTGCGAACATTTTTCAATGAAAGTGTAAACAAGTGCTGAATCAAGGTTATGAATCAATTTGTTGAAACAGACCATTTGATTCCCAGAAATGAACTAATTCATACAAATACAATGAACTAGTCTAATGACACTGCCTTTAGAAAACTACAAAAAGGCATATTAAAATTACACCAATATTCACAATGTTGCTTCACTTTACATTGCCAGCTATATCATGTGAATATATCATGAATACATTACCCACTCCTATTAACAACAATAACCCTGAATCACTGTGGTCTACCAATAAAGAGAGTGATTTAAAATTGAAAACAAGGGATTTGGTTCTCACCAATCTTTTGTTGAGCCAGTCCAAATGATCATAAAGCAGACTCCCGCCAAATTCATCTGTAAGTTGGCATGGTTCAATGTAGCGTGTGAGTTTATTGGCAGACACCAGAATCACCTGAAACAGAGAAAATGAACTCTCAGGTATGACTGAAGACAAAGCTATTTCATCATCTGTGCTGAGAATATTAATAGACAAGAAAATAAAACCATCCTGACCCATTTTGGAGAAGAAATGGTAGTAACAGAGGGCAAAGTGCAGCAGTCACTAATGTTACCAATTAAACAGGCAACTGTGTGTGTAATGTAGCATAATCTGAAACCGCTCAGGACCTTCTGCAGCAGAAATGTCATGCAAGGTTAATATCCATTAATAATTTATTTGATATTTGAAGGCATATAGGACAAACTCTGCAGGTGACACAGCCCTTCTGCTGGGTCAAAATCACAAACGGTCACTTAATGTGACACACACAAACACACTTATACATACATATATATATATACATACATATATATATATACAT